AACTGTTTTATCTTCATGAACTGGAGTAACAGGTACATCGGATGCCTCTGGTGTTTTCTCTTTATTCATATCCACAGTAGTAGTAGTAGGTTGATCGGTAACACTTTCTGTTTGATGTTTAGGAACTGGAGTAACCGGTGCATCTGTTGGTTTTCGTGTTTCTCCTTCATGAATATCAAACGGAGAAGTAGATTCATCCGTAACACTTTCTGTTATTGATTCTTTATCAAATGGAGTAACAGGTGCATCTGTAACTCTTTCTGTTTCTGTTTTATCTTCATCAACTGGAGTTACAGGTGCATCTGGAGCAGTAGTTGCGTCAGTGGGTTTTGTTGTTTCTTTTTGATGAACATCAACCGGTATAGTGGGAGCATCAGTAGCAACTGTTTTATCTTCATGAATTGGAGTAACATGTACATCGGATGCCTCTGATGTTTTCTCTTTATGCACATCCACAGTAGTAGTAGGTTTATCGGTAACACTTTCTGTTTGATGTTTAGGAACTGGTGTAACCGGTGCATCTGTTGGCTTTCGTGTTTCTCCTTCATGAACTTCGACCGGAGAAGTAGGTTCATCAGTAACACCTTCCGTTATTGATTCTTCATCAAATGGAGTAACAGGTGCATCTGTAACTCCTTTTGTTTCTGTTTTTTCTTCATCAACTGGAGTTACAGGTGCATCTGGAGCAGTAGTTGCATCAGTGGGTTTTGTTGTTTCTTTTTGATGAACATCAACCGTTATAGTGGGAGCATCAGTAGCAACTGTTTTATCTTCATGAACTGGAGTAACAGGTACATCGGATGCCTCTGGTGTTTTCTCTTTATGCATATCCACAATAGTGGTAGTAGGTTCATCGGTAACACTTTCTGTTTGATGTTCAGGAACTGGAGTAACCGGTGCATCTGTTGACTTTCGTGTTTTCCCTTCATGAACATCGACCTGAGAAGTAGGTTCATCGGTAACACCTTCCGTTATTGATTCTTTATCAAAAGGAGTAACAGGTGCATCTGTAACTCTTTCTGTTTCTGTTTTTTCTTCATCAACTGGAGTTACAGG